GGTTGTCCGAAAGTTTCTTAGCGTTTTGGGTGTTTAACTTTAAACGATCATAACTTTCTTAACACTCATCGGATTTAATCCAAATAAGCACCATTCGAATCAGCACACTTTTGCCAATGTGGCAGCAGTCGAGAAATCCCATCAAAGAAAAAACTGGGTGGTCGAGAATCCACGAAATCTGCGAAGGTCTTTTTTGCCTGGTCTTAATTGATGAAGTATTTTTCAGCAAGGAAGTTCTGAAAATGTCTGAAAAGGTGACAGTCGCAGTTGAGGAAAAGCGTCTAGAGAATACAGTCAATATGGTGGAGTGAGGATAGAACTTCAACTCCAATCGCGTTCACATTATGGATAGTGATTTGTGAACGTATGGTGGGCGGGCGTTTGTCATGCAAAAGAATCGGACCTTTCTTTTGATAAGTGTTGGCTGCAGCTGACAATATTTTCGGTACATTTGGTCGGTTTGTTCACAGTAGGGTTCTGCTGTGATGGTTTGGCCTGTGTGATGAAAAGTTATAGTGGATTACAACAGCCGATGACCACCAAACCTGACCAGAATTTTTTTCGCGAGGGTTCGGCTTTGAAAATTACCTCGGTGGTTCCTCCAAATCCAACCACTGTCCGGAAAGATCTGACTAGTTATCATACATAGAATCCTTCTTTTGATCACAGGTGACAAATCCCGCTTCAAAAGCGGCGTCAATTCTTTTGCGCAAAAGCAAAGTGGAAGAAAGGAACTCGAGACCGTGCGATTTTCCTGCGGTCACTCCGATTGTGGCGGGACCCAATTGTACGGTTTTTTCACATTCCCATATTGCTTCCAGGACATCCTAGAACAGTGATATTTGCCAAGGCCTAGCTCTTCTGCTATCTCTCGAACTGTTTGGGATGGGTCAACCTTCAAAATCCCCCTAAAAATCCTCGTCAGATATTGCTTTAGGTCGACCGCTATGAGGCTCACCTTCAAGGCTGAAATCTCCAGAGCGAAATTTATTGAGCCATTGCCGCACAGATGCTTGTCTTTAGCACTATCTGAGGCCACCCACACCTTGGTTAATTTGTTGAGCTGTTTCGATTGCGGATTGCCCCAATTTATAGTCGAAGAAAAAAATCGTCCGAAGTGCTCTTTTCACATGCTTGAAAAAATCTTGAAAAAGAGGGTTTATCAAGCAATGGTGAAACGGCAATTATACCATCAGATAGCGCAAGAAATTCTCTACAGGATGTGCTACTGAGAAGCAAGGCAGAATGAGTTTTTAATCAGCAGTGAATGTACAAAATTAGGTGCACAAAACGCTAAGAACTTTCCGTTGACAAACTGAAGTAGAAATCATCCAAGGGATAGGCACATTACGTATCGAAATCCTCGACAGACCTGAACTTCGATATCGATATTTTCCACGAACGCTAGCGGATACTCGCTTTGAGGAGTGACTACTAAGCCATGGCAGCTCGGAGACGCGAAAGGTGCGCATACGACGTTGGAAGGACTATCTCTATCCAAACCTAACGACTATCTGCCATTTGTGAAGTACCAAGTCTCCCATCTTCTGGTGCCCGCTGACTAGTACCACAGTTGCTTGTGAGAATTAAAAAAAAACATACCACATTGCCTGGTCCCCGCAAAGCACTCTGTAGGCCATGGTGACTTCACCATGCCACCACGACTCTGCGCATGGAAGTAGTAAGCATGGCATATCCCAAAAGTGATTGATCAACGTGTAAACTTCATCCTTTATGCTTCAAAAGCTGGCAAGGGTTTAGTAGCTAGCTTTGCAGATTTTCCAGGAACCTTCAGAAGTCGTACTCCATACTATGGGAAATCCCGATATCTTCTGCGAACCATCAACAATTGGAAAGTCGGGCATATAAGCTCTTTTTGTAAAGGTACTACACGGTGGCACCTGCGTCACATTTGTAAAAACGTTCAAAAAATAATTTCAAACAGCAGTTGAACTGTAATAAAAAGTGAAAACTTCCAGGATGAATTCAAAAAGTATTCTATAGGAAACGATTAGAGCAGCAGAACCAGACATTAGATACTTTTATACCTAAGAAAGAGCGATAATACATAGCTCAACAGCAGATTTAATACAGACAGTGGATAATAAATAAGTATAATCTCAGATAGGCTCAGCTAAATAAGTCTTATTTAGGAAAAAATCCAAACCTGTGATATTATCGAGTATCTCCGGTACAGCTTTAGGAGCCACTGGAAGCGCAGGACTGCTGGGGAAGCTATCTGTAAACGCCATCACCTTCATTTCTTCAGCACATAACAGGTTCGTAGGAAGCGAAAAACTAGAAATTGTGAAAATAGGTCCAAAAATAACACCTGATGCTATCGGTGAGAGTTGTGACACTGGAGGATCAGGTGGAGGTGGAGGAACTGACGATTCTGAAACTAATAATTATTCCATTCATTAACGCTTAAGTTAAAGGTGCTTACGAGTACCTTGCAGAACAGGCTCAAGGCCGGTGGGTGGGGGATGCATTGGTGAAGGATCTGGAAAGAGAACATGAAATTCTAAATCTTAGAAGCGAGCAATTTAAAATGATTGCATTATTCGAAGAAAAGCTCACCCGCCGGCTTAGAAGCTTTGACGGGAGAAGCGACGGTTACAAATGACATTGAGTAAGATTGGCACTTTCCTGAGCGGACAGGGGTAGGCAATGGAGTGGTAGGTGCGCAAGGACTTTCGTTGGCTGCTTGTTCTTGAGCAGCCGCCGGATGATCTCCTTGGGAGGCATCTAGAAAGCACGAAATTTGTCCATATCTCCTATTTCACCAAAAATCACAACTCGTATTCCTCACTGGGTATGACTTGTGGAACGATCTCTGGAGGCACAATTCTTTCATTGGGTGGAATAAAGGCAAGGCGAGTGGCACGATGGCGAGAAACGGACCTGAAAAGGAAGCTGCGTACTTGTAAATTGAAACTGTAAAAAATGAAACATTCTATGAGCAAAGGCAATAGTTCTCGAGAATCTGATATCAATATCGGTACTTTTCATTATTTCTGACAAGCCAGCTGGCGCGCACTGTCGCGTGCATCATGCGGGAGAATTACAAAGCTTACGAGGGATGTTCAATGTATTCTTCTTAGTGTAATCCACAAGATCAATACACTTGTTTGTTCGGGGAACTAACTCTTTAATCAGGATACGCCATCGTTGTGATTATCACAAGGGGAGGGGCTCGTATTTGGTCAGTTCACGGACGCAATACTATTTCCGACACTTGAAAATGATAGTTTAATTCTGACGACCTTCCCCCCCCCCCGCCGCGAAGGATGGCGTGCGCTGTTTTCAAATACCTCTGGAAAATAATTTTTCTCTTTGTTCTCAAAATGTGGTATTGCCGCCTTCAGCTCTTCATCGTCAGAAAGACGCTTTCTACGAATATCTTCTTTTGGGTTGGGGAACAAGAAGTAATCACTAATTTCTCAATTTTCTTTTCATTTTTCCAAATTTTTTATCAGTGCATTTTCTCAACATTGTCACATCAGTCTAATTGAAAATTTGTATTTACACCCTCAAGGAGTGTCGGTACCTATTCAAATGATTCAATTCTTACGTCACCGCTAATATTACCCAGGACATGGATAATTTGGAATGGCCCTCGTATCTGAAAATATGTATACACTGTCATGTTGACCACCCATCTGCTTTTTTACCTGGTATTTCTGATTTTTTTTTCTTCATAAAATAACAGTTTTTTGCAACGCATAATCAACATCGTGCTATCTCTAAATCTCACTTTCGTCACCAAAGCTCCTTCATTAAATCGTAGAAATCAAGGAAGGCTTACATTCAAAAGCAACAAGCTATCAGAACAATAACTAGAATTCTGGTAATCAATTTAGCAACCAAAGTTTCAGAAACTTTGTATGCCACAGGGATGCTATTTCGTGACTTTTTCGGCGATGGGGCATGTGACGGGGCGTTGGCTGGACCGCAGCCAGGACGGCTTTTTCGACCAATGATGTCATACCGAGACCGTAACAATTGGGGCTCCCCTGGTTGCGCTCCTATTCGCATCCTTTCACATGCTCTATCGCTTGCAGGAATCAGACATTGCAGACAGCCACCACATTCGTCAAGAAACCTTCTAGAAAATTATCAGTATACACTATCTATCAGACTTCCGTGCTTGTTCTCATTTACTGTACTGAAGGGCTTTACTCCACAGGGTGCCCCATAGTCAAACCAAAAATGGACATCCTGCAGCAAGCTGAAACCGAAATTACCATTACACTTGCTGCTTCTCTGTTTCAGTCCAATACACTGCACATACACGTCGAGCAAAATTCTTTAAAAACCCCCGTAGTGTCTGAATAGCCTCATAGATGCATTCGTGCCGCACGCTGATGGCGCCGGAAATGGCAGCCATCTACGGGCGTACACCTTTTTCCATGAAAAACATTCAAGTGTGAGACCTTGCGAAGTAGATTAAAGGCTGTTTATTGGAAACTGTGAGCAGCTGATAAAGGAGAAAATGGTTTGAAGAAACGCTATTTCAACATCGAAGAGAACAAATTATGGCATGAGCTTCCTTCAAAACAAGAGCCAGCTGTGACTGCTTTTTCTTCTCTACGCGTAACGGTAGCAGATTTTGTTAGTTTGTGAACTAATTCTGTAGTCAACACTGTCTTCTTTAACAACGGAGAATTAAAGGAAATTCAAAAATTCACCTGCAATTTTACTAAGCCCATATTCCCTGCATAACGATTTCAAACGGAAATATTACGCTCCTTCACAGAAGTGCTACTCATAATTGACTAGGGCTTTAAAAAGATGCGTAGGCGAGCTCTCGTCAACATGTAGCACCTCTACAAATAAGAAACACTTAACACGTTCGAGGCGGCGTGTATTCCCGGGAGTACACGCGGAAACCCCTCTTTTCAGTCATTCTTACAATATTGG